TATATATGTATATATGTATATATGTATATATGTATATATATACGTGTATATACATATATACATGTAATGTATGTATATATGTGTATATATATGTATATGTAGTGTATGTCATTTATTACAACAACAAACATCACTTGAATTGAAAATCCTATTCATACTGCAAAAAATGTCTCCAGGCAGCAGATGAGATGTTCTGTTACTGTCTCTCATTTACAGGAGGATGAGCCTCTCTCTCTGACAGCCCAACAGCAGCAGCAGCAGCAGCAGCATCAGCAGCAGGAGTACGTCACCCCCTCTTGGTCCCTCTCCCCCTCCTCCTCCCCCATCTCCCACTCCGACGCCAGTGACTCAGACGCCGGAGACGAAGACAACGCCAGCCCCCGCGGCCGGGCACTACGCCGGCGCAAGAAACGGCGCGGCACTCATTCAAAGAAGAAGACACCCCACCGGACCCCGCCCGGGCGGCCGCCACCAGTGTGCCCCACCAGCATTCCTCATCACAACCGTCCACTCCCTTCATCCCACCCTCCAGTGCAGTCCTCCCCTCCCTGCTCCTCCTCCTCTTCAGCTAAGCTTGTGTTCAAAGCTCCGTCTCCTCTGGCCTCCAACACCAAAGGCAACGTCAGCTTAAATATCCCCAGAGGAGGAGTGTCCATAGACTCCATGCGCCAAACCTGTGAGCACTGTGGACGCCACTTCCGCTCCTTGGGTCGCCACTTGGATAAGCACCACGCCCACCAGCCAGAAGTGTGCTCGGCCCTGGTGGAGCGCTACACACAGATGCCCCGTCTGCGCGCGCAGAACTCAAACCCTACCACGGCTCACGCACACACGCTGCAGCATTCCAAGTCACCGCAAGCCGCGGCACAGAGCCACGGCTCAGATCTCACACAGCCCGGCGTCCAGGACCTCTCCATGCCTCCGCCCACTCTCACAGCAGCTAACCAATCCCCTGCCTCCTCTGGAAGGAACTCCACCCCACCGGTGCTGACTCCTCCGCGAGGACAGAACGCAGTGCCGGTGTCTGTCCTGAAGCGGAGCCCGGCCCCCGTGGCCGTGACGCAGTCCAGGAAGGGAGCGATGAGCAGGCTAAAGACAGAAAGACAGGAGGACGAGGACAACGAAGACGATGTGGAGGTCGTGGAGGTAAAGAGGCCCAAAGAGGACGAGGATGTTGAGGTGGTGTGCCCTCAACCCTTCAGCAACACGTTGGCCAAAGAGATGGAGCCGCTAAAAATGGAAGAAGATGAGGAGGAAGAGGAAGAGGAGGAAGAGGAGGAGAATGGAGTGATGGAGTTGGAAGATGAAAGTGGGACAGAGGATAAGGAAAAGGACTTGCTGAGGTAACTTGTGGTCTTTGCCTGCTTTGTGAGGAAGTTTGAGAGTAGGGCTGCAACTGATGACTATTATTATTATTATTATTATTGGTGATTAATCATTTTGTCTTTAAAAGGTTTTGTCCAAACGAAAACAAAACAAAACATGTATATTTGTAGTATTAGACTCCAGTGGTGGCTACCTAGGATTTTGTTTACAGACTCTTGTGATCCAAACATTTCCAATAACTGCAGAGAGTTGTAAAGAAAAGATAGATGTGATCATTTCCAAAATTCACAACATGATTTTATCTGACGAAATATTCTGCTTCAATCCACATCTGTTGGCGTTTAACCTTTCAAACATTTTCACTGTGGTCAGAAAAGTCCGTTGACACAACGAGAGGCTACACATTCATAAAAGAATGAAGACTCTCGGTGCAGAAAAATCTAAACGGTTGGCATCATTTATCAGATTCAGATTATTTATATGATGGAATATATCCTTTGGGCTTATATCTTTTTTGAAGACATCATCAGTGTGTTTTCTTGCCAGATTCGCTCGCGGTAAAAAAATTAATCAGACATACGGCGAAACTACTGCTGCAGATGGCGAGCCGGCCGTGTCGCTCTAAGAGCTAATTACAGAGCAGGCGATGAGAATCGATGAGTCATCTGATCGTCTCTTCTGCTCTGCCAACGATCAAACTAGTTCGAACAAATATCTGACGATGGTGATTGGCGGCCGATACTTTAAAAAACAGTATTAAAATAGTTTCTTATTATTCCAGAAAAGAATCGGCAGATTAATTGATTAGTTAAATTTAATGAATTACTTAAAACAATCATTAGTTGCAGCCCAACAACAAACAAACTCATTTAAGTACTATGAATCTCAATGTTCATGGCTCTGTGACATGATGGCTGGTACAGTTCGATTGCAGGAAACTACCTTTAGGGTTTTGTAAGTTAGCTGGAACTAGTATTATTAGAATGAATGAATGAATTGCTCTCCATCTCTTCTTTCAGCGGTTCGGGGCGTCACCACATGCTGCCCCTCCTCTCGTCCTTGTCCTCCCTGGTGCTGTACCTTCGTCGGCTGCAGCACTCGGCCTTCTTGTCCCTGTCTCGGCAGCTCCAGTCAGCCGAGGCCTGGCGCCTCCTCTGTCACTCCAGCCTGGCTCTCCTCATCCTGTACAACCGGCGACGCGAGTGCGAGGTCTCCAAGCTGTCCATCGCCGAATATCGCGCTCGCATCACCCCCCAGTGCCCCGTCCCCGTCCCACCCGGTGCCCCCCCAGCTCTCACTCCGTTGGAGGCCTCCCTGTCCCCGTTCGAGCGCCTGGTGCTCCCCCACCTCCCCAGAGTCGGGGTCCAGGGCAAACGCGGACGAGTGCAGCCCCTCATCCTGCCCCCTCACTGCGAGCCCTGCCTGGAGCTCCTCCTGGAGACGCGGCAGGACGTGGGAGTGGACCCGGCGAACCCGTACGTCTTCGCCAGGCCCTACCACTCCCCTGCCACGCCGCTGCGAGGCACCGACCTCCTCCGCAGCCTGGCCCGCTCAAGCGGCACCCGCAATCCCCGCGCCCTGACCCAGACCAGGGTTCGCCGGCAGGTAGCCATACTGACCCAGCTGCTGCTGCTGGGAGAAGGGGAGGAGCCCGGGCAGCCCGGGGGCAGCGCAGTGGAGAGGCTGGAGCACTTCCTGGAGAGGGAGTACCATGTTACGCAGAACTGTGCCGGTATTGGCCAAGACCCAGGCCTGATGGGCAGAGTGGGCCGAGTGGTGCTCTGCGGAGAGAGAGATGGAGTGCTGTTCAGAGGAATGAGCCTGAACCACATCTGTCTGGAACTGGATGGTGAGAATGAATGAGTGGAACTGGTGTCTCTGTTGTATCGTCCCTCCCTTTGTGGTGTCACACATCCCATGGCTGGAAAAGGGTTATGACCCTTCTTCCAGTTTATGCGGATGTTCCCGTGTTTGATTGGAGAACATGGGGAGTAGTGACGTGTTAGACTAATCAAGTTCACCTCCTCTTTCCAGTTATGTCGGGAAACTCTGCCGACTCCTACTCAGAGGGAGAGTCCGACGGGGAGCAGGTGAAGGAGAAGCCCGAGGTCCCCGCTCCGGCTCCGGCTCCGGCTCCGAACCCCACACCCACCCTGCTGTATGTCAGGAAGGGCAAGAACAACGGGCGGGTGGGGCGACCCAAGAAGATCAAGAACGCGCAGCAACCCCCTCTGCCCACCCCAACTCAACCCACTAACCGCAGGAGAGGCTCAGGTCAGCCCAAATCAGGTTTGTTAAAGGTTGAAGTGTGATTGCACAATTTGACAAAACAGAGGAAGATGAATAGATCCAATTGTGCAGGTGAGATTTTAAACAAAAAGTGCTTTGCCAGTGCTTGAAGTGGGCCAGTACCCAGAAGGTTGACAAGAGTACACATGGCGTACGCTTGTCAACCTTCTCAGGTTCTCTTTGAGATTCTTAGTGGTGATTTATAGCAGCATTATAAAAACAATGTGGAGAGCATCTGTGCGAGTCCACGCCCAACACGGGGCATGAAAGAGAGAGAGTGACGAAGTTTATCTTTTCGTACAATAATCAGTGAATGTATACACGTTGTTTAAAAGTTATCTGAATCTTTCCTTCCGGTTTACAGATTATGATTTCACAGAAGAATGAAATGTTCAGACGAAGGCTGTGATGTGTGTGAATCATAGGTTTTGTCTTTAAGCATTTTGGGGATTATCTATAGTAACAGTAATCGTCAGAAATGATGTACGATTGCATAGCTTTAATTCAAAAAACCTGCACATTACAAATAACATAGGATAGAATATTAATGGAGTATTATAGTATAATAATATAACAATAAAATGTAACACAACTGACAAACAAACAAAAAACTAAATAACTGGAAAAAAGTAAGGGATATACAGGTGCATCTCAATGAATTAAAATATCATCGAAAAGTTCATTTATTTCAGTAATTCAATTGAAAAAGTGAAACTCATTTATTATATAGATTCATTACACAGGGTGATATATTTCAAGCGTTTATTTCTTTTAATTTTGATGATTATGGCTTACAGCTAATGAAAA